ACAGGCAGACGTATGTAACCTGTGTTAAAGGCATGATGTACACAATCACTGATATGCAGCAGGAGCTACATGTGTCAGATGGGATGCTGTCTTAAAGATAAACAGCATGAAACCTTTTTATCGTACAAACAACAGTGACAAGGCATTTTCGAATTCATAAGGGAAACTGTAGGTTACTTTGAAGACAGATTACTTTCAAGTAATCTTTATCAGGTGGTTATTTCCCTCTGTTAATTTTTAAACGTCAAGTCATTCAGGATATGGTCAACATATGAGTGGTTAGAATACGAGTGTCGACATTGGTTACACAATTATTAACAAAGATGCATTCATTTATTCACTTTTCAGTTATTTGAAAGTGGTTAAATCAAAGGAATAGTTGTGCCGCACGTCGCCACGTCGATAGGCATACGCTTTGCAGGCTGCGGTTGTTTCAACTGTCATAATATAATCATACTTGTTTTCCTCACAGACTAATTGGTGTAAAATTATATTAATGCTATAAAACGAAGAAACTTCTACAAGTAAACGAAGAAACTTGTACAAAAAAGTAATCCGGACTTGAGTCAAACGCAGAAGCCCATGATAACAGACGCGACGGAAGATGTTACAGCAAAACTGGTGCCCCGGGTAAACATGGTGAAACAGTTGTTTAAATGAACAAGGGGCTGCCACTTATTCAAAGGGCCAATTTGCGGTCGACATATTAACACAGAGCAACCTAACAATGATTCTGAGAATAGAAAAGTTGATATCTTTATTTCTTCAGTGCATACATCGTATACACTACATAAACCGAGATATTGAAAGTCAAAGTACGCAAAAATGACACATTTATTATTTTTGGTGGCACACAGTAGATTGCATCGGTGTCACACGAGACCTTTTGCTCGTCAAAAGGGTTGACTTGGAAGTGTGGCAGTTTGGGTGAGTTGGTATGACGTGGCGACAGTTATAGCGCGAGAACAGAAGGACGACGGATAAAATTACTTCATCGCGATCAACAATGACCGTTGCTAAGCGCTGCAAATATTCTGGGTCGAGTTTGCCCGAAACTAGAGCGAAACCACACAACGGGAGCCAAAGCACGGTCAAAAGTGCACGCGTGACACCGGCAGTGAACGTGACATACGTAACAATTAGTGTGACGAAACTTGAGATAGCAAAAAAGGCTACAAAAGAAAAGACTGCAAACCCTGGTCTTACCCGATGATGCAGCGTGAAAAGTGGTCAGGTGGAAGCGGTTTCCACCGCCGAACGCCTTGTTTAGTTGTTATACAAACAGGAGGGGGCACCGGAGAACACAAAGCCGATAAATGCAGCCACGCAGACTCTACATATACTGAAATTTCACATTGTTAACTACTGATGAAGGGACTGAGGCGGCACCCTCCATTATTTTGAGCGCGAAATGCTATCACGTGACTACAACAGCCCATGATGCAAGGCGGGACCCGATGTTGAAGATGTAATGCCTCTGGGACAAATAAAGCCAGTGCCAATCTTAAATTCTATTGCTTGTTTTGAAACTAGGTATTTTAAGATATTCTTCGAGCAAAACGTAATATTACTTTTATTCATGACTGCACTTTTGTTTTGGTTACATATGATGAGCGGCAACATCAAGATCATCGTAAAAACGCATCATGAGGGTGCAAAAAAAGCAAGTGATGAGGGCGTAACTGAAACTTCAGTTGCGCTGTACAAGTCATAGCTTTGTCCTGCGGATATTTTAGTGCTTACAGTAATTGGTTTCATTGCAAACAACTTTTGCCTCACTTTGTTTCATGCTGCCTTACCTGTCTTTTTTTATTGTTAAAAATCACTTCAAAAATGAAGTTGAAACCGAAACTTGTGCGATTTCGATATCGACTCACTGCACAAGCTTTGATTTCAACTCACTACTATCGTCATCATCATCGTAACACAGTAGCATAGAGCATATTATTTTTGTGTGTTTGGTTCTCCATTCTCGGTGAAAGGCGTCAAGTTATGGTGGCTTAGTCAAGCGTGAGGAGTCGTTCAATGGTAACCGATAACGACAAGCTGTAGTGAAAAACTCCAGAGTACCTCCACGCAATAGCTAAGCATCATCAGTGAGCTCACTTGATGTGGATCTTCTTACACAAAATAACGTCCCCAGCAGAGATATATGTGCACATAACTGCATGCTCGGCAATTTGTGGGCGAACTGGATGCTGTTCACACAGCAATTTCAGCTTTATTTCACCGTTTCAAGTCAAGAAACTGCATCTATCAAACTGACAGTGATACTCCGACTTTCCGTAGCCGGCGGACCTGTTGCCCTTAACTAGAACAGCTTAGATTTCGCTCTTCCAACTTAGATGACTGAAAAACCAGATATTAACGTTTCATGCACACTCTACGCCAACACGCAAAACAGGGTATGCCCGCTGCACGCTTCGCTGCTTAAAGTGGCAAGCTAAATAATGCCTCGGTTTTTCCTCCCATTCTTCAATCCTAGAAGTGCATGAATTTAACAATGAGCAGCAGCGTGACAAGATTATTAGACAACAGACCTTCCCAGGTATGAATCACCATTTGTGTGAACTAGCCGCTATAGCCCACAATTATCCTGTACAGAGCTCACCAAGTTCACCAAGCAGTGGCAGCTCGCCTCGCACATGACTTCTAGCTCAAATAAGCCTCAGTCATATTTATTAGTTGACAGTTTGATAAATGCAGCAAAACCTTCGTTTTGTTGTGACCAACTAGAAAACACTGCAGTTGACCGAATGTATTTGTCGTCCAGATAGCCGCATAAACTTGGTGCTACTCAAGCATGTACATCACGCTGGTACAGAAAGGGAAGCTCCCCTACCTGCTGACAGGTTACCATACCTACTCTGTCGACAACAAACATGCTACTTAAAAAACCTACCCTGCACTAGCAGACTTAGTAGAAAAAATCGGAATTAGTAAGAAACTACTATAAAGAGAAAGCATCGAAGCTTCCTTTACTGAAGAAGGAAGACTCCATTAAGACTGCAACCGTTGACGCCTCCAATTTCAGAGGGAAAAGGTATTGTTATGGCACCAGTAATGGCCAGAACTTACAGCATTGAAGCGCACGGTAGCATGTAAAGGAGAGAGAAGCACGCATGTGACATATGCCTCAGCCGTTTGTGTTGTGACCAACTAGAAAAACACTGCAGTTGACGAAATGTATCAGTCACCCAGACAGCTGCATAAACCTGCTGCTACTTCTACATCTACTACATAGAAAGCTGCGTGAAGTCTTGTGAAGAAAGAATGACATCTCATGAGCAGCTTTGCCTCAGTTGTGTGTCTTCTCGCTTGACTTAATCGAACAAGGTAATCGCAATTAGTAAGTGCATTGTTCAAGTCGACATAAGCCTTACACTCAAAGCGAAGCTGAAGCCAGGCCTTGGACAAATGGCAAGAAAACTGCAGTGGTCTGGTGTAATTTGTGTGCTGCATAGTTTGTTTGCAGACTTGGTATCTCCTTGTTGGCGTCTCCCAGATTTGCTGTGGGTGATATTGTTTGCACATTACTGTGCCCTTTCACGATACTGCAATTTTTGGTTTAGATTTTTTTACCAACAACACAGTGTTTTCAGCAGGCATCCTTTCTCTATGTTGGTGTCTACTGTGTTTGTTGTGAGTCATCGTCCTTCTGTATTAGTGCGGCACTGAATCGCGGTGCACTTTTATGTTTATATTTGCTTGCAGACAGTGTGTTCTGCAGGCCTGGTGTTTGCTGTGTGCGCCGTGAATGATAGATTGGGCAGTGACGGAATAACACACTTTTTTTACGATTGCTTATTTTTGGCTGATGCTTACTTACACGCTGTCATTAATAAGACATGAAATGCTTTCATGACGATGTGAGTTCCCAACAAAGCTGTAAGAGCAGAGCCCGTGAAACAGCTGCTCTATTGCATTTTGATCAGTCACAGACACTACCAGATATCTAGTACTGCAAACATTTGTCAAGGCAGTTTCGAACCAGAAGTGGCACCCTTTTCTGTCCGAAAGCTCAGCATGTCTGAACATTTATTGTGACTTTGACCGTCCTCCTAAATTCTCTGCGATCAATCTGCCTCGTCGAACGTTTGTGGCATTCTAGTGTGTGTGTATTTTCGCTTCCTCCCGCTCTCTTTATCTCTCTCGTGCCGTTTTTCTTACCTTTCTGTCTCCCTTTCCAAGTTCAGATTAGCAAACCAGATACTTGCTTTTCATTGTAACCTCCCTGCCT